CGCAAGGATGAGGGAGAAATTGTGAAAACGAGGAAAGAGAAAGAATGAAATAAAAGAGAATGAAAGAGATATCGTTCTATCCTATCGCAGCAGCAACAGCAACAGCAAAGTTTCGCCATTCGAGAGATCGACCTTTTGCTGAACTTGATCCACCAATCGCTCGACAACCACTCGAGAAATCCTGCAACAGGAGAGGACGGTTCGTCTCTTTTGCTTCACGAATCTTTATTGTTAACCGTTGCCAGAAGAATGCCGTGGACGTGTCTGACTTGGCAGTAATTTATTGCTCTTTAAATGGAACCGAGTCTCCTTCCATTCCGGATCTTAAACCATAAAGTTTCGCCATCGACTTGTTTACGGATTGTCTGTCTCTTGTAGTTTCGATCGATTTGCCAAAACTAAGAATACATTTCATTATTAGACCTTTCACGCATCTTGATTTATTACTTGTTAATCTTTTCACTCTCTCCCACACGTATATACAATATGCGATTATTACCACCATAATCGTGTAATTATTCTTATTTTTTTTGGATTCCTGTGATCCGAATATATTGACTTTTCAAGTATCAATCGTTAATCTCGTAAAATTTGTATTATTGTATTTATAATTGTAATATTAAATTTAAACAAAATATGTTAAACCCGTTTATAAAATATTGTTTAGAAATCCATTGGTCTTGTGTCATTTCAAAGAAACGAATGACATACTACCGTTAAGCATAGAATTATGTGTAGGAGAGTGAAAAGAAAATGGAAAGAAATGTTTGAGAGACACAATAAGACGGAAGACCATGTCCATGTCGGATGTCCCATGTCGGCTCGGTGATAGTCCATGGGCGCGAACGGTTCAATGCTAACTGACTGACTGAGTGAAATCGTTTGAAAAGTCCCATTCCTTCTTCCTCCTCCTCCTCCTCCTCTACCTTCTCCTCTTTCAGTTTCCACGGCTTTCGCACGCGCCTATCACGAGACACGACGGCCGTGCAAGAGTGCGGGCCTAAGGCCTTTAAGGTCCCCTCTAATCTGCATTTTAAACGAGCCGTGTTGCTGTTCTCTCGTCGTACCGTCTTCTACACGCCACAAGCGAATGAAACCTACTATGAAAGAGTAAACGAGAGAGAGAGAGAGAGAGAGAGATATTGCAAAGGCCTTATGGTTCATGACGTTTTATCGTCGAAGAAGCAAAACTTGCGTTTCACGCCACGCATTCTCTCATCCCCGTTCATGTTTCGATCATTTTCTATTGACCTCCAGCCTATCTAACATTTTCCACAATTTTCCCATATTGTACAATTTTAAAAATTATATTTGATTTATTTTTTTTTTTTTAATAGTTTAACTATCGATGGATTTTACACACGTTTTATTTTCGTTCCCTTTAACAATAATGGACGGAACGAAAGAGGACACTTATATCCTAGTTCGTGTGTTCGAGATAAAAAAGAAAATTAAAAATGGAAGAGAAAAAGATTACCTAGGTAAAGTGAAAGACGTTCATGAATTGCGAAGGAAGTAACAACAACGATGTCATGCCGATTAATTTGATCGCGAGCCTGTGTGTTACACAGTGTGTTGTCGTGTTGGTAACACACTGGTAGCATACTGGTAGCACACTGGTAGCACACTGGTAGCACGCTGGTAAGTTCCTTACGAGAGAGCCGCGTGCTGCTGCTATTGCTGCTGGCCAGGTTTTTTCAGAACGCACGCAAAACAAGTACATACCTACTTGGAATAGAGCTTCTCCCCATCGGGTTCTCTATGGTAACAGATCGAAATCAGTCTTTACCGACTTTCATCGGATCACGGGGCGTCCTCTCTAAGTTCCACGCTGAGAAGAGACACTTTGGTATATACAAGATACGTATTTGCACTTTACTTCCTTACTTTTCTTTCTCTTTTTTATCCATCATCGTTCTCTCATCAGTTTTTCTCTAATCTAATATTGAACTTTAAATAAATTGTTATACCATACAAGACTTGATCTACATTTTTATTTCAAATAGAATACTCGATAGTTATGGTATATTAAATTTTAACTGAAGTGTCTATCATTTTTTCTTGTTGTCATTTTTATCTGAAATGGGAAATGGTTACAAATGAAATGGTTACGCTAGAAAGAAACTGGTACTTTTTTTGTTTGTTTCAATGTTGCTAGCTAGCTAGCTAGCTAGCTAGGTTGCTAGCTACTTGGAATGCGAAGCAAGGTTTATATATGATTCTATTTGGGTGTACACTACTTTCAGGCACAAAACAAGATTTATTATTATACAATTGTACGTGGGTTAGTTAAGAATTATGCCAGGATTATGTCAGAGTACAAATTTGTATGATTTGTCCTAGCTAAAATGTATCTACAGTAATTTGGTATCTATCATAAGTTTGTAAATTTAAGTAATAGAGTAAAAAATACAAAAAATATGAATAAATTAGTCGAATTTTGTTCCAAAGATTCTTGATAAGAATATATAGAGAATAGATCTAGATCGATCAACGATCAGTTCGTCGATCGAGAAACGTGCGTGGCTCTTAGAAAAGTTAACCTTTTAGAAAGTAAGTAAGAAATGTGGAAGGAAGTTAACGTCGATCTTTCTTACCAGACGATTATTATCCAAGGAAGAATCGCATAAAGAGTTTCCAGTTATAAATTTATCGTTTTATCTTTTGTCCCGATCGTCTAATTAGCACTAGGTAAGATATAAGAAGAGTTTGTTAGATCGTAGCCCGTGGGATCCGATATTCGTTGTGTGTTTGAATCTTAGAAGTTGGTTGGTTCAGAAGAGGTGAACGCAAGATTCCCCTATGCGGAGGCGGGACATAAATCGAAGGACATTCCGGCGATAAATCAGAAGGACGGGCAGTGAAAGTCAGCTTAGTTTCGGGGCAGATACGTCTTTCGCGAAAGGTTCCCCACTAATGAGACACTCAAGTGACGGACGCCGACGGCCGTGTTTCTTATCCAAGCAACATCATAAACACGCTCGTTGCAATGCCATACAACACACAACGGAAGAAGAACATAGACGAGAACAAAAAGACAGAGACCAACTGACACCATTCATGAAATTTTCCTATTCCAAATTTTCTAACGGTTACAATATCAAAGAATCAATGCAACAACGATACAAAAAGGATTCATTGCTATGGAACAACCTTGAACGTGATTTACTTCCCGTTCTAGAATAATTGTTTCAATTAAACAGATTAGAAAAAATGTAATCGAAAATTATTGGTCTATTTAGAATTATCCAAGATTATAAGAATTTGAATAATAGTTCATAATAATTTGCTTACGAAAGAATAGATTTCACAGGACTCCTGTATAATTGCAGGTTGATTATAATACAATGTTGATAATGTAATAGGGGAAAAATACTTAAGTATTAATTTCCAAGTCCACCTTTCATTATTTCTCGATTACCCTTTCTCACTTTTCCTACGCAAAGGAAACCCAAGGAATCTGGGCCAGTTCCTGTTAACTTCTCATGAGGACTCTCCGTTGTATACGTTGGCACGTAACTGACGATGACGAGGAAGACGAAGGAGAGAACACGCGAAGGGAAATGCTTGGTGTCTGCTTCAACTTACGGCACGCGACACGGACACGCGACGCCAAGCTTCAACACGTATACGCTTATAATACGCACGCACACATACTTATACTTACTTACTTACATTAGAATCTAGTAAGTGTGTCTACCTACGAGCGTTAGACACAAATGCGTTGTCGTCGTCGTTGTCGTCGTCGTCATCGTCAAGCACGCACGCCTTAATTAAGTTCCACCAGTGGATTGACTCGCAGAAAATCACAACCGATAGAAACTCTCAGAAAGTTTTTTCTACCCTGTCGCTTATGCGAATTGACAGACATAGGATTTCATGAAGGATAATGAAAACTACTATATGTATATATATATGTGTGTACCTTGTTACATTATGAACCTTTCTACCTTTCTAACCATTATTACATTCTCTCTTGCATATTTCTTTTAATCTATTTTAGCAGATTCGAAATCCACTAATAAGATATCAAACGTTGCAGTCTCTAAACAAAAGCCCTCGTAATAAGGATAATTAATTTAATTCAAATACATGTTAGACATTTTTTTTTTATATGCTATATATTTCATTGCGTGAAATAATCCAAACTCGAACAAAACTGAAAAATTCTTTAGAAGTAAATTATCCAATATTTAAATGAAGTTCAAATTCGTATTTAAAAACGAATTTTTGAGGATTGACTCGAGTCGACCTTTGTCTTATGGAATGCAAGGAACTTTGTAAGAGGAGTTTCTCTCACACACACACACACACATAGGGTGTCTACTTTCTTCTAGTCTAATTGCTTGCGTGCCATAGGACTCGTGCACACGTGGGCGAAGCAATACAAAGCATTACGAAGCGTAAGGTGTCTCTTTGCTGCGCCTTTCGAAGGTACTCGTCCGGCGTGGGTACTTACAGGACTATGCATTCCAACTTTGCTCCCCTCTCTCTCTCTTTCTTTCTTATACTGCGCACGTGCAACACTATTTGAATCCGATTAAATTCCAGTCGCATTCCAACTCGTCAACTTAGGGTGGGGTGGGGTTGTTGGGCAAAAAGATAAAGAGAATGAAACCTCTCGGGAATTCACCCTAATCTGCCTTTCGTTCTTACCCATCCTCGAAGCTCCGATTACCGATTTGAATCAGCGTTATTAATAATTCATTTCTATGTAATCTAATCAATTATTTTTCGATATCTTTGCGTACCACACATATTTCAAGTGTGGGATATCATATTTTATAATACAACTTAAAAATACGTGTTAATTATTAGGAAATAAATGTTCCTATTCAATTTAGAAACCTAACGAGCTATTCGGCCAACCCAATACTCTACTTAAATTGATCTGAAATCTTAATTTGTCATGTGACACACAATGGTTATTCGTATAAAATTATAAATGAAAAATGTTTATAAGATTTTAGAATTAATTTAGGATTATTATTAATTTGCAGGGTAATGAATTAGTGGTGCCAGAGGGTTGGCCTTTGACGATAGGTGGGAGAGCCCTTGTCCTGCAGTTGGGCGAACTCGAAGCTTCGGCACTAAGACTTGGGGAATGTTACCTCTGTGTACGGAGTGCAGCAGTAACAGCAAGCACTTTGTCGAGCGGTACCGTGGCCGCTGCTGCTGCTGCTGCTGCTGTTGAAATCGTCGAGCGGAATACCGTCGAGGTGAGTCACGTCCCTTTTCTTTCCATCCTCTTCTTTCTTTCTTTCTTTCTTTCTTTTCATCGTTCCCTCTTCGCTTCTTTTTTTGTTTTCGCGTTTATTCGTCGCGCGAAGGATGGTCCCGAACGTCCCGACGACGTGTCAAAGATTCCTAACGTTCCTTAGCGATGATCATTTCTTTACCAAGCATCTTTCTATCTAAACGGATTTGATCGAACAATAGAAAATAAACGTGTATATGTTAATATGTTTATACACGTACAGGAAGTATGCCAATTTATCATATTGATATTTATTTTTACCTAGGAAAATTGTATTGCTAAATTATCTCACATTTATTTTTCTTATTAATTAATACAAATAATCGATAACTAAATAAACGATACGATTTATTCTCTGAACATGTTATTTTATATTATTTTATTTTTTACCTACGATTTCTCACAGATAGCAGTGATCTGGCGAGCAACGTCGATGAGGGCCCCAGGGATCCTCGGTTGGGAGCGTGAGGACGAGTTTATGGATTGGCGGGAACCTTCGCGAAAAACTCAACACAATTCTGCAACAATAACAGGGTCCAATAGCGGTGCTAGTACGAGTACGACAACGACGGTAGCCCGTGCACGTCGTAGGTCGCGCGAAACAGGAAAAAGTGTTAAAGAAGACAAAAGAAAAGAAGAAGGAGAAGAAGAAGAAAAAGAGGAAACGAAAGAAAAAAAAGAAAAAGAAAAAGAAGAAGAAGAAGTAGTGGAAAGATCAAAGGAAGGATCAGAAAATTCCGATGTTGGGCATACGAGTTCGAGTATTTTGACGGCTATGACGCCGGTGACAAAATCAAATTCGACGTCTAGCGTCATATGTTGGAAAAACGATATAGAAGATAGTGATAGTGGATTTGAAAAATATCCCCAACAACAGCAACAACACCACCACCACCACCACCATCATCAGCAGCAATTGCAAGAGGAATTAACCGAGGAGGGTTTCGAATCGTCGTCTAGTCTTTCAGCAAAAGTGAAAAGGTGCGCCAAGGTTGTATCCCCAACGATAATGGAAAAGTGGAAGGAAAGTGGTAGATGCGAAACAAGAAGCAGACCAATCGCACCGGAGGATCTTAAGAGTCCTCTTAGGTTGGAACAACTTGTGGGAAGGCAGGAAGTTGAAAAGAGGAGGGAAACGAGGAAGGAGCAACTGGAAGAACGACTACAGAAAGCTCGACACCTCGAGGACGTAACCGACGAGGAACTGCCGACTTACATCGCCAATCTTCTCGTCACCGTTGAGCGAAAGATCGAAAGGGTCTCCCTCGATGATCTTACATTCCCCTGTCCTGCCTGCAGGAACATAGACACGGACGATCCTCTCCTTGGTTGCAAGTGTGCAGGTGAAGATTGTGCCTGCGGCGAGCACGGTCCTGAAGACGAGTGTGATTGCGGCACGGCATCTTCCATAACATCGAATTCAAGGAAAGATCAATGTGCCAGAAGCTTCGAAGTGGCTGGCATCAAACATATCGACAGCGACGACGAGGAAGAAGTTCGTATGGGATTCGGTAAGTTTACACATTTTTATAACAATTATTTACTGTTCAATTAATTACAACACATAAATTAATAGGATAAGATATTAGGATCAAGATATTTTTTATATAAATTAATTTTTTGAGAAAAATATATTCGTAATTGTGTAACCGTGTGCGGGAAAATAATCTCGCGATATGGGTTTACATACGTAGTTTTTATTCTGGAATTCTTACGGTATAGTGACTTGCTTAGAAGTTTCTTTTAAATAATGACTTCTCTCTGGTTCAAGCCGCGTCAGCTGCCGTTGTAGTAGCCACTCCGTCCTTATACACACTTATATTTTACTTCTTATTCATATTCCTATTCATATTACCATTCGTATTGGTATTCCTCATACTTATTCTTTGGCTTTTATTTCTCAAAGACTTTTACTTATACCTATATACGACTTATGATTTACCGACGAACGAATACTTCCAGCACGACGTAACACTCGTACAAAAGCCGAATAGACGAACGAACTTGAAATTTCTGTGCAGAAGCATAAAAGGCGTGGGCGATACGCGCCATCATCCTCGAGTGGCCACTTCCTACAAACGATGACTATTGAAAAGTCTTTCTCTTCGACAAAGTCGTCTCACCGACTGAATTACCGCCTCGTATTATACCACGGTGTGGATAATACTCTCTCTCTCTCTCACTATAGACAAAAATTTACAGTATTTTAATAGGCCTACAATTTTGAACCTCGGTTGTAAAACATCTCCCGTAATATTTTCCTCCTCAGTTTTCCCTTTCGCATAAATCTCAAACATATTTTTGTGTCAATTAAATCGATGATTCGTAAGTAAGTTCTGTTATAAATAAATAAAAGTATATTATTGCCCCAGGAAATTTCTACCGACGAATATCTTTCTGAAAATCAGTACAAATTCAATATTTTTATCATATTCCTATTACTTTTACAATAAACTTAGCGAAGTGATAGATCCAATGAATGATTTAAATACCTTTTGATATTTTTTAATTTCGTTAATCGGTGCAAATATAAAAGATAATAAAATTCAATGAAACAAACGAAATGTCATCGATCTCAATTTAGAATCTAAATTTGATTACCGTTCGTTACGGTAGGTGTTAAGAGACCATTTCGTTTCTACGGGACGTCGTTAACGAGCGATGACTTTCGCACGAGGCACGAGGGCGTGATTGTAACGAACGGGTATGCAAATTGTCGGCGTATTCGCTTGTCACTCGATCTTTCGCCGTAGAAGTCCAAACGAGTCACTCCCGTTTCTTCGAGTACGAGTACGAGTATCTTCGTCCAAACTCCCCCCAGCCGGCCGTTCTCGGTTTGCCGGGGGAACACTTTGAAGTTTCGTGACCGGACCGATCTCTTTTCTTCCCCTTATCCTCCCACGTTCCTTTCCCTTCCTCTCTTTTTTCCTGATTGCGATCGTTTAGTAACCAACTCGAGTGCCACGAATTTCGAGATGTTTTATCCCGAAAAAATATCACCGTATATCTCTGACACGTGCAAACGTGCGTCTTCTTTTGCAAACTGACAAATTTCATATCATATTTCTGCATCTTTGACACTAAACGTACAAACGACCTGTATATCAAATGACCAATAGCAATAAATTATCTAAAACAAAAAGAAATTGAATTCAATTGACATTTGACGAAGATGGTGGTTACATTAGGTAGCAGGAATAATTTATTAAAAAATGGTAGAACGCAGGAAATCAGTAAGTAAAAATTATAACAGTGGATAAGCTGAAGGAAGGAAGGAAGGAAGGAAGGAAGGAACGGAGGAAAAAAAGGGGTAGTCGTTTGGCCAGGGCTTTTAGCTGAGTCTTTTAAATCGAAGATCGAGAGACCGCAGATACCGCGGACCGTTGCGGACTGTTACCGTCGTACCGTGCCAGTGGTGACGGCAATTGGCGAGTGGCTTGCTATTCCAAAGGTTCCTTGACTTTTGTGTCTGCAACCGGCGACTTGCTCCGGTGTCTGTATTTACAGAGAAAGAGAGAGAGAGAGAGGCAAGTGACCTGCCTCTCGCCTGGACAGTGAATGAACGGAGTAACGAACTCGTCAATGGGTATGCGCTTGCTAATGAAACGGGATAACGCAGCAACAGTTCGATATACGTTCTCGTGTCCCTTTTCTCCCCCCCCCCACCTACGAAGTATAGTCATTTGAAACCACGCTTGAATTTTGTACTCCTTTCGTGAGTTTCGAACTTCAAACAAAGGTGTGTCCGGATGCTAATTGGGTTAACGTGCTAACACCATTCCGTTGCTGATCTTTTTATTTTCGGTTGGTTCGTCAACTGTGTTCGTATATTTGTGCAATATATGGATCACGCGGATTGATTATTTTAAAATCATTGAATTATTTTTATGCTTAATAAAAGAATAATAGAAATAAATAATAAGGTATATAATACTTAGAGATAATATATTAAATGCAAATTTATCTGAAACGATCTTTCAATGGGTTTCGGCGGTTTATCGAAGGATCTCACCTCGATCAAGTGCATAATCGGACATTACATGCTCGCCCGTTCATCGTTTCCATGCTGCCGTCACGATCGAACAACCTGCAAGACGACGGTTTACTCTTGGCGTCAGTCGCCACGCGATCGGACATGACTTTGCGTTGGTTGTCGCGTTTCATTAGCACGTGCCACTCTCTCATTGACTTCTATCTATCTATCTCTATCTATCTCTCTCTCTCTTTGACATACAAACTCGTTCGTTCTCTCTGGGAACCTTTCCCAAGCGCGGCAGCAACCCACTCATTCCTTTTCGCGTGATTCCCTGTATATACTCAGCATAGGACATATTCCAGTATAACATGACACGAAAGTACAACCCACGCCTGGGTGCACACAAGCTCACGGAACAACCATAAACGAACTGATCCTACGAAATGTGTTACTTACACCCCCTTGTCTCGTATATGTCATATTTCGGATCGAACAAACGCATAATTTATTCTTTTATTTCATTCTGTTTTCAATCACATGTTAGACGTTTAGAAAAATTGTTGAAAAATTCTTTGTCAATGATACGTAATAATTTTTAAATGTTATACATATACAATTGTCGCGTATTTAATTCTTATCTGTATGTTGTTTGTCTATTTTAAAACGAGTATTGTCTTCGACAAGGTAAATGTTGGTAAACGCATCTTCTGGTTGGCTACCATGCACCTGGAGACCTGGAGTCAAATTAAAGCGTTTCGGTATACGAGCCGATCCCAAGCATCGCTTGATTGAACGTTTGTTTCATGAGCTGACTATACTTAGTAACTCATTGATCGTCCCTACGGCGGCCCTCAATCATATCTACTTAAGCGAGAATCAAGCGGCTTCTACAATAGAGGCTATTCACCTCTCTATAGTCGTTCTCCTCTGTGCATGCGTTAAACAAAGGGAGGAGGGGTCTAAGAGGGGGATGAAATGGGATTGGAGGGAAAGGGACAGACATTTCATCCTTTTAAAGAAAGTGTTTTTCTACAGTCCCTACGATCGGAGTTTGTATCACAAACAAAATTAGGATAAATTGAAACGGATCTCGTTGAAATATTTAGCCTTACAAGATATATGTGAATTCAATGAAAAAAATAATTTGATTCTACTAACCTACCCCCAATGTTTCCAATTGTTTTTTTCATGAATTTAATTTCTGCATCAAGTATCTTAATATCGTTCTAACAAGACCTAACCATAATCGTTGATGGAGGAGACTGTACTGTAGTGCAAGGTACTTATTGATTTTTAATTTCCTTTCACAATTGAATTACATGCGAAGACAATTGGATTAATCCAGACCCTTAATTCTCCTGTCTTTCTCAATCGAGTTAGATGGGGCTCTTACCGGTAACCTCCACCCTCCCTCCCTCCCTCTCCGTTTCCTATAAAGAACCGTCTTCGATTATCTCGAAATATTTTCTAATACGACAAATAGAATTATATTAAATTTTGATCTGCAATTCGGTATGGAAGAGAAGGAGAATATAAAAAGATGATCATTGAAAGGTTCCTATGATCAAAGATAAAAAGTTTGAAAGGGGTCGTCGTCGTCGTCATCGTTTCGGTGTTAATGAAGGGAAAAAGAAAGTTTTCTAGAGACGTATTCTCGTGAATCGAAAAGTTCTCTTTACTTCAATAAATCGTTCCACCAAGTTTCTATCGGAGACCTTAATTGCTTCCGCGTGCACGGCCAATGTGATTCGATAAGTTTCAATTGGTTTCTATCGATCGTTTTTTCTCTTCCAAATGAAATTGAGGATATATATCAATTCTTTATCGCGCGTTGACAAATTTAAATAGATATTTAATAATTCGTGAATATTATTAGCCCCCTCTCCTTACTCACCCATCTTCACAATTTATAGCGTATCTCGTAAATTTTGAGAAACGTGTCGAATATATTTAAATGCAAGTCAACAAATTTTTAAGCTAGTTAAATTTATGAAGCGTTATGAAATATTAGCACGAAAGATCACAGATATAACGGTAATATAAATTTGTTGAAAACATCTACGATTTATTTTGTTAATTAATGCGCGAATAAATTAATTCAAAAAAAAAAAAAAAAAGCAATGTCCGATCAGTTCGATACTTTTATGACACTCGAGTAAGATTACTTAGTTGAATTTGAAACTTATCGATGCATTCAATTGCTGTTTATTATCGCAAGCATAGTATAATGCATTCAGAAGAAACGATGGACAAGCATCACAAAGGTCGCATCCATAAGATAGAAAAGGTGACAGGAATGTAGGAATAGAAACGTTTGAGTTGCAAACGACGTGTCGTAAAGTATGAAAATCCAATCAACCTTCGGTTAAAAGTTAATCGAAGTAACGATAAGCTTTCACGTTGAGCTACTTCCGCTTTATTTGCATCATGAATTCTTATAATGAAAATACTTATTTATTATAAATATCATTTTGTTTAAATATAATACAATATAGTTTAAATATAGTTGGTTCGAATTAACACGTTTTACGTAAAAATGAAATAAAAGAAAAAAGAAATTCCGATATCTAAGAAAACAACATTTTAATCAATTTTATTCGATTTCTACTGTACATAACACAATATGAGAGTAAAATCCCAGTGGTTGTGTATTAACAGCTGCATCAACTGTATGCAACGCATGGAATAGCGTGTGATTGCGTGTCGGTGACCTCGATCATCTCCCCTCGTGTATATCTTTCACTCACTCTTTTTTTTCTCTCTCTCTCTCTCTCTTTCTCTCTCTCGTTTAAATCATCATGTCAATGATCCTACGACGATGCCAGATGAGGAAGACACATTATTATATCGATACCATCCTCATCCTCATGCCTGCTGTGAACATTTCCGGGCTATGTTATGCTAACTTTATTTAATTGCGAATCTACTTTCTCCTATCAGCGAAATGTAACAAATTTTAATTCATTTAACGAAATTACAATAATTAATATATTTAATAATTAAATTGTATATTGATACAATGCACGTGTTGCATTACTCTAATTAATTTTAAAATACTTCAAATATTTTTCTTATCTGATTATAATACTAAAAGAAAAAAGAAAAAGTAATCCTTGTTATTTCCTAAAAAGAAAAAAAACTTCATACATTATACATGCATGCAAATAATCAGTATAATACTATAGAGCATAAAAATGAGATAATATATGATCGTACAATTTCAGTATTCCCATTATTTTTCATTTGGTTCGTTGGAATGATCGACAACGAGTTCTAAGAATGTTAAGAACGTAGCGATAAATCAATGGTAATTGCATTTCTTTCGCACTCTCGATGAAGCTTCGCTTTGTTTTCTCGCCTCAACGATGACTTTCTTCTCAGGTTTATTAGTAGTCGGTGGATGCATCCGTTGAACCATTGTCTTTGGTCATGTTGGTAGTTTGTAATTATCACACGTCATTAACGCCCTTTCCCGTAATGATTCGCTGCATTGAATATGTTCCCGCAAATTTTCACGCTTTTAACTTCTTCGCGTTTCTTCGGTCTCGAGATTCATAAAATGTTTCGAATAATTTGGAGAAAATAATTATTTCAATAAAAAATTGTCTATACATACATACACATGTTTTAATTTTTTATTAATTTATATTTGACAAATATTTAAATAATATATAATATGTTACTGATGTTTTTTAATGAGCATTTATTATAAAACGCACGTTAAAGCAAAATTCCATGGTTAATATAAAGTAAATAAGTCATGAAGAAGCGTGATGGAAAGTAATAACGACTGTATATCGCTAAGGAATCGATTTTACCAGTATAAACGTAGACGAGATAAACTTATAACCGAACGCGAGAACCTGTAATTAGACCCCATAGGTAAAATGTCTTCTAATCGCTTAATAACGCCCATGAGCAAACAGCAAATACTAATTGGCTGAACGGAATATTGCAAGGAATGAAGAAGTAGAGAGAGAGAGAGAGAGAGAGAGTTAGTTACCAATCAATTTGATATTAATAGTATTTTATACTTATATAAACGGCGCCAGGAATTTTTCTAACTAATTATTACTTTACGTCGTTAAAAATAAAAAAAGATATTTGTACTTTTCTAATATTATTTCTTTTCTTTTTCTATTTAATTGTACCGTCGGGAGCACTTATTTTCATTTACGAACACAACGTACAAAGTAATTACATTTTATCGATAATGGTCTCTAAAATTTGATTTTATCCCATTAACACACGTCTACATTAATTAGATATAAGTTTCGTTCAAAAATGTTGTATAATAAATAACTTATAAATTAATGACCAATATATTCTAAAGGATAACACGTTTTATCACGTTGCTATTAACGATTGATATATCAATGTGATATATGTTAAATTACGATGTAACATTTATTATTTAGATATATTACATACCAGTGATTATCGGCGACATTTATTATCCATCTCGTGTGCACGATTACTTAATATAATTAATAGGAAATACTGTAAAACACTTGATTACGATCTATCCTGTCAAATTAAAACAAATTTTTAATCGCAAAACGAGGTATACGCAAAAAAGATTGAAAATAATATTGAATAATATTAAATTTATCACATCGATAACGTTAGAAATGAAATTATTCAACAATAAATTATGTTACACTCAACGGATAGGTCTTACCGTGTCGAAGAACGGAAGGGGACTGAAGAACATTGTTTACCTTTCGTGTGCTCCTAACAGTCCGTAGTTTTTGTTATGATATTGACTAAAGCCTGTCTTAAGAAACAGATACATGCACGCAGACATACATACATATATATATGTATGTGTATCACTTTTTCCATTACAATTCTCGATATTATTAAAATGTGCATTACTAGCTCGAGAAAAATACGAAATAATTACTGGCGCATATATAAAACTGCAAAAAATAGATGAGGAAAGGAAAAAATAATAAAAAATAAATGTTACTTATAAAAGAATATAATGTGTCGTATTATATAAAAGATGAATAAATTAATTAAAAGATATTACACGGTCATAACGTCGAACGTCTTTCATTCGAAAGCGCGATTGGCTTTCATCCGAAGAGCCTGTGCACATTAAAAGAAAGAAATAAAGAAATATAGGAAGATATCAGAGACGCGACACCAAGTTCACGATGCAAACGTCTCGAGATGAGTGGCATCAACTATGCGAGCTGTTGCATATACATATATGTCTTCTTTTGCGTTAAAGTTCTCATCTTAAAATACGACGAATAAGGAAAGTCAAAGTGTCTGGCATATACTGAAAGAAATAGAAAGAATGAAAGAAAGAAAGAAAGAAAGAAAGAAAGATATATAAAGTTGTAAAGAAAGAAAGAGAGAAAGCGAGAGCGAAGGTTAATCCCGCAAATCCACGTAAGTTTATTCAAGTGCAACGTACTCGTAACTTTTCTCTCGAAATATTACCATCTAAATGAATATTACATTGCAAATATTTATTAGTTCGTTATGATTTCAAAAATATATAGACAAGAGAAAAGTTAGATTTTTAATAGTTTTTCATTTTGTAACGAAAGATCAGTTGAACAAGCGTAATCTCTCTTTTTTTTCAAGTTACAATACATGAAACTTAAGAAATATACTTAAGAAATATCTACACAACATAAAATAATTTATTCAAATGTAATATAGATAATTAATTTTCGTCCCATTTTTGTTGGTAGTTCATTGTTCTTTTTCCAAACTTTAAGTACTTTTTGTGCACGCGTGTGTAGATCATGATATCACAAAGAAAGAAATTGATATCACCGTGTAATCTCGTATTGTGTGTAATGCAATAAAATATTACAATAGTAATCGATATCCTTTCAGAGATGATTTAAAGTACATTTACATTATGTGGGATATTCCATAGCAAGCTCACTTGTACCACCAGTGTACACACCTATGCATTCGATCATATTACCAAATAACGCGTCCCACATTGTTCTTGAGAGAATTCGAGCGCAAGGGTGGTCCTCGTGTTTGCAAAGGATGCGGGAGTAACGAGATCCCTCGTTGGTTTCTGTTTCAGGAACGAAAAAACGAGCCGACGAAGTCACTTCACCCAGGACGATTCATGACGTACCGGAACACGTTTTGACATGCGGTCTGACACTGCCCGGTAAGTTTTTACTTTTTATCGAATCGAATACACGCATACAATTATTTTTAACGAATCAATTATTACATGAAACACGATTGATTAATGCCACGTGATAGTTTTAATAAATAACAAAACGTGCAAATTCTTATTGCAAATAATCTGATTTTCGATCTTATTGAAAAAGTACATCTTACAAAGAAAAAACTAAAAACACTCGCGTTGCATGATAACAAAGAGCCATAAAAATATCAGATAAGTTTTATGAATATCTGACAAACAATATCTGTTACACTTATCTCTATTTTGAGATAAGAACGGCACAAAGAACTCTCTGTAACGTTGTTTAAAGAAAAAAATAAGTACGATGTTAGGACTATAAGAAATTCCACGAAGTTCGTGTCACTTGGTGAACGCGCGCACACACACACACATATGTAAGCAGCCCGGCAAAGGGACACCGCTCCTAAGCATTTAAATCCATGAAAGGTAGAAGGAAGGAGAAGAAGCCGTTCGTCTTCGTTCAACGCGATCTCCGCTTTATTACGATTTACAATACGTCGCTCCACATAAATCCGCATGAGATATGTCTCTACGTAAAGAGAAATATATATACCTATGTATATATACCTTTACACCATAGACACACATACAGATATATCTCGTGTGTTACGTTTATACATGTGCAGTAGTTACACGTGCATGTACACACGAGAGGAACACATTTAGCATTTTGCTTTCGTTGGCAAGAAGATAAGAAGAGAACTTGCGTTGACTACAGAGGAGTATGCGGAAGCCAACAAGGCACACCCACCACCATCATCATCATCATCATCATCATCATCATCATCACGTGGGCCTTTTAAGTTCGGTTCACACGCCCCCACATCCTTTGCGAATCGCATCTATTTACGAACTTTCAATCCTACCGGACCTCCCCCCACTATCTCGTTGTTTCTTTTCTTTTTTTTTTATTCATTCTCTTCGTCGTCCTTTTCTTCCTGTTCTTTATAAACCCCTTCTTCATCTTCTTCATCTTCTTCTTCTTCTATTTCTCTTGGATCTTTTCAACCTTGGAAACTGTATGCGCGTTCGAGGATTCTCTAAGAGGATATACACCTAAGAGTAACTGTAACTTCGAGCTTCGGCAAGGCTGCCGTTTTGTCAACGAACGGTATACGATTAATAAAAGTGAATAAAGCAAGCATGGTATGCGCCTATGGTCGCGCTAAAATAATCTTCCTTGTAAGATGAACATTGCACTTTCGGATTCCATCCTAAGGACGTACCGTTAAGATTAAGTACAACACGTTGCTGGACTGCTTTTTTCATAGGAAAACAATTTTTTTTTTCAATAGTTTAGAAGTTAACTTACGTTTCATTATAGTAACATTTAAATTTAGTCGTTGGTTAAATCGAATATTTCAATAATGTATGTAGTTATTTTGGAATTTATGGAGTTAAGTGTTTACGGTGAGAATATATTTACTTTGAATATCGTTTTAAGTTAATTACGTCTACGGAACTGTAATCGTTTCTTTATTTAATACGAATGATATTTCCTACTGCAAGATAGTTTTCACTACCTTGGATTACTTCGAATCTTATTAAGTAATTATTTCTGATTTACGAGATCTCTATCATTCGCGCGTTTATATTTAATTTTAATTATATATTCGAATAAGATAGAGTAAAATGAGTTTGTAGAATTAAATGGGAACGAATAAATTACTCTATAAATTACTCTAAATAATTATTTTCAATTAATAAATTAAAACTCGCGCACAGCTTGACTCAAATGATTTTAAACATAAACTACTCTTATCCGAATATAATTTCAGATTAATTATTTTAAAAATTGCATAAAATACATATTGACCAAACTCTTTAACTAAACTATCGAATACGATGTTATCTAAATATTTATAGTACCAACTATAAAATAAGCTATTGTATTTATCATAGCCATAACTATCCACATTTTACACGAGTAGAAATGATCTCGAAGAATAAAGCAATAAAAGATAACGTCTCTCCAACGAAACAATCATTTTCTCGACAATCTGTGTAAATCGATTTACAAACAACACATCCAAGTAGCAACAACACAACTCATGATACTTTATAGAAAATAAGTCTAAATCTTTTCTATCTTATAAGCTATTAGACGATCTATTCGGGCGTAAAACGCATACAACGTAATAAGACAATGTCCTTTGTTACGGAAGACGTTAATTAAATTTGAAAGACATGCCCATAGTTTCGCACGCTTCAACAACGTTCCTATAGCTTTCGTCCATTTATGTATAGCTAACAGGGAGAAAGAATATTGCGGTAAAAGGTGGAACGAGACGAGAAGGGTGTGTGGTACGGTGTGAGAAGAGAAGGAGGAGGGTGGTGTCTATGTGTATTTTCTATTCTCCTTTTCTTATGCCGCGCATCACTTCAATGTGAATTCTCTTTCCTTTCTCTCTCCATTTCTACGAAGAGATCAGCTGGTTATATTCACGAATAGTTGTATTATTCACGTTTTATGTGTGTGTGTGTATATATGGCAAGGATATCTCCATGTAGATAACTGTAATCCCATAGTTGGCAATGTTGCGAGCGTGTAGCCGATTAGGCTTGCTTAAGCACTTCTTAAAAACAGGAAGGAAGAATTCTAGAAGCCAAGAGAGAAAGGATCAAAGAGAGAGAGAGAGAGAGAGAGAGAAAGATAGATAGATAGATAGATAGAGAAAGCTACGAATAAATCAGAAAATATAAAGTTCGATCGTTAGAATGAAACTTAGGGGAACGTAAGACGTCCATTTTCCATGTAATCCGGTGTTGAATACGTTGCGAACGTTAATCTTCCTCTTGATTCGATGCTTCATTCTTTTGTTAGCTACCGTTGGGTTCATGAAGATGCTACTTACACGGTTTTACTGTTCGTATTGTACGTTTGTACAATATTTTCAGGTTAATTGTTCGGGTTAATCGATAAATATTTTCTTTCCTATCCGAGTATACGGATGTATGTGAAAGAAAAAAATTATATCCAGCTACGAGATATGATTTTGTTCGTAAATGGATTTTAGAAATGATTTTATTTCAAAGTTGTATATAAGTAGGTAACGAAAAATTATAATGCATTTATAAATTCTTAAGACAGTTTGACTAATGATTTCGTAAGAAAAATTGAAGTAGGTTGTAAAAATGTTTGTCTATACACAAATTTACCATTTCTTTGATATTATCGTTGATGTAACACAATTCTTATATAAAATAAATAATTAATATCGAGATTAAAATATTTTCTCCGTTATAGTATCGGCATACTGACCAAGATAATTTTCTGGAATAAAAGTAGGTCTCTTAACGCGATCTAAACAATTATATTGCCACTCTTACTAAAGCTTACTACGACGAAGAACAGGTGTTAATGAATAATGAATGGCAATATTTCAAAGACCAAATCATTCGTATTAAAGATAGAAGAAAGATTAAGAAAAAAAAGAACAATTTTCTTTTGAAATAATTCAAACTATTATTCGTGAATACAAAAAATTATTGTCATCGATAATAATGAAATTATATTTGACAAAGAAAAATTGGAAATAAATTTCATATAAAGTAATTCATTTTTGTCGTTGTAACCAATCTCATTTGTGATAAAATAAATAGAAATTTATTTTATGGAAAAATTCTGTCTCCATTCTTTCTCATTTCTTTTTCAAAGTTCGTACAATTCTCTCTCCCATGGTGGTTGTCTTTGCCAGACTCGTAGGACAAGTACGAAACACGTGACTTTGGTGCTCAATAGGAAGATCGCTTGTATTACACGAATACTAAACACGTTCGCTTATTGTAACGCGAAACTCCTTCCATTGGTCGTGGAGGAGCGTTGTCCGCTGCATTTCTCTCTCTCCCTTTTTCTCTTTATTTCTCTCTCTCATGCAATCGCTTTTGTCGTTTATTCTTCCTTCCTCCGGCATACCAGCTGGCCGGATCCTCGAGTACCTAACTGTAATCCCGTAGTTGGCGAAGCCTATACCTTTTGTCGTCGATTAGCTACTCCAAACGTACGTTCTCTTCCTGCCAATTTTAAAAGACTAAAAACTACAAACGAAAGAAGAAGAATAAACAAGAAAAACGTATCGATGAGACAGAGTCCAGATTTCTTTTCTTTCTTTTCTTTTTTTTTTTCAACATTTCGGATACTTCACTTTTGTTTGAGCTACGTGTCTGGAATATTTCGTTATATTCCCGTAAATTTTAAAACTTTAGAATATTTTTAATGTACAATAATTTCAACAGTATAATAACTAATTCGAATGGCAAGAAAATAATTTCCTTTTCTTTTATTTTCTTTCCTCGATAATATTATTATCCTTTGCAGTGAAATTTCTCTAGAATAAATTAGGAAACATTGGAAAAATTGATATTAACATAGAACAGGTAACAGGAAATGTGCATAGACATTAACCGTACGCACGTTGCATTACTTTCGTTCATTTCCTTCATTTTAAATCTGACGTTAGTACGATTTCGTCAGTAAGTTTCTAGACAGCGTGGAAATCGTATCAACTTAGGGTTATTTTAACGAGTAGAAAATTAGTTTTATGCCGGCGGATAGGCATCGAGACGGTTCGGATCAATTAGAGATAGGTACGTAAATCATTGAACGTCGTTGCATCGAGAGAAATCTCTAGAGACTACGAACGATTAGCTAGCACGCTTCTCTTTCTTTCTTTCTTTATTTATTTATTTCTCTCTCTCTCTCTCTCTCTCTCTCTCTCTTTCTCTCTTTTTATCTTTTTCTTTGCGCATGTTAGAGAGAATCTCGATTGATTTATTTATTAATTTAAACGTATCACTCTCCTTGTATACTTTTGCTCAATATAAAAGAGAAATTGATAGGCAATTAAAAATTATAATCTAAGCATTGGCTCTTAAATAAAAACTGGTTAATCCGATAATCGAAAAACATATATGTTTGTACACATCTCGCGAATATTTAATACAAAAATAAAACGATC